AGCTATAGACTGAAAGTTGGAGCCAAAATTCCGAAGTCTTGAATTCTTGGATACAGTGAAACAAGTAATCTTAATCCTGAAGCTTGCAACCTGGAGTCTTTATTCCTGAATTCCTAAAATTTGAAACTTGAAGTCTGAAACCGATCGCCTGAAACTTAAGGTATGAAACCTGGAGGCCTAAACCTAAATCCTAAAACTTGAGACGCGAAACCGCCTGAATCCCGTAATTTGAACTTGAAACCTAAAACCTAGGCTGAAATCTGAAGCTCAAAATCCAAAACGTTAATAAAATTGAAGCCTCTAACCTTGAATTTTACTCCTGAAACTTTTAACCTGAATGAACATGAAGCCTGATACAAATCTGAAATCTTTAACTTTATTTTTGAATCCAAAGGCCAAAAAATCCAAAAACTTGAAGCCTAAAATGTGCAGTCTTACACCAGAAAGCGGTAGCCTAAACCCCGCAAGCTAAAGCATGAAACCTGAAGTTTGAAGCCAGTAATTTAGAATCTAAAAGCTATAGACTGAGAGTTGGAGTCTAAATTCCGAAGTCTTGAACTCTTGGATTCAGTGAAACAAGTAATCTTAATCCTGAAGCTTGCAACCTGGAGTCTTTATTCCTGAATTCCTAAAATTTGAAACTTGAAGTCTGAAACCGATCGCCTGAAACTTAAGGTATGAAACCTGGAGGCCTAAACCTAAATCCTAAAACTTGAGACGCGAAACCGCCTGAATCCCGTAATTTGAACCTGAAACCTTAAACCTAGACTGAAATCTGAAGTTTAAAATCCAAAGCGTTAATAAAATTGAAGCCTCTAACCTTGAATTTTAATCCTGAAGCTTTTAACCTTAATGAAGATGAAGCCTGATACAGATCTGAAATCTTTAACTTTATTTTTGAATCCAAAGACCAAAAAATCTAAAAACTTGAAAGCTAAAATGTGTAGTCTTACACCTGAAAGCGGTAGCCTAAACCCTGCAAGCTAAAGCATGAAACCTGAAGTTTGCAGCCCGTAATTTAGAATCTAAAAGCTATAGACTGAAAGTTGGAGCCTAAATTACGAAATCTTGAATTCTTGGATCCAGTGAAACAAGTAATCTTAATCCTGAAGCTTGCAACCTGGAGTCTTTAGCTTCCTGAATTCCTAAAATTTGAAACTTGAAACAAGTAATCTTAATCCTGAAGCTTGCAACCTGGAGTCTTTATTCCTGAATTCCTAAAATTTGAAACTTGAAGTCTGAAACCGAGCATGAAACCTGGAGGCCTGAACCTAAATCCTAAAATTTGAGACGTGAAACCGCCTGAATCCCGTAATTTAGAACTTGAAACCTAAAACCCAGACTGAAATCTGAAGCTTAAAATCCAAAGCGTTAATAAAATTGAAGCCTCGCTAACCTTGAATTTTAATCCTGAAACTTTTAACCTGAACGAACATGAAGCCTGATACAAATCTGAAATATTTAACTTTTTATTTTGAATCCTAAGATCAAAAAATCCAAAAACTTGAAGCCTAAAATGTGTAGTCTTACACCAGAAAGCGGTAACCCAAACCCCGCAAGCTACAGCATGAAACCTGAAGTTTGAAGCCAGTAATTTAGAATCTAAAAGCTATAGACTGAGAGTTGGAGTCTAAATTCCGAAGTCTTGAACTCTTGGATTCAGTGAAACAAGTAATCTTAATCCTGAAGCTTGCAACCTGGAGTCTTTATTCCTGAATTCCTAAAATTTGAAACTTGAAGTCTGAAACCGATCGCCTGAAACTTAAGGTATGAAACCTGGAGGCCTAAACCTAAATCCTAAAACTTGAGACGCGAAACCGCCTGAATCCCGTAATTTGAACTTGAAACCTAAAACCTAGGCTGAAATCTGAAGCTCAAAATCCAAAACGTTAATAAAATTGAAGCCTCTAACCTTGAATTTTAATCCTGAAACTTTTAACCTGAATGAACATGAAGCCTAATACAAATCTGAAATCTTTAACTTTATTTTTGAATCCAAAGGCCAAAAAATCCAAAAACTTGAAGCCTAAAATGTGCAGTCTTACACCAGAAAGCGGTAGCTTAAACCCCGTAAGCTAAAGCATGAAACCTGAAGTTTGCAGCCCGTAATTTAGAATCTAAAAGCTATAAACTGAAAGTTGGAGCCTAAATTACGAAGTCTTGAATTCTTGGATCCAGTGAAATAAGTAATCTTAATCCTGAAGCTTGCAACCTGGAGCCTTTACTCCTGAATGCCTAAAATTTGAAACTTGAAGTCTGAAACCGATCGCCTGGAACTTAAGGTATGAAACCTGGAGGCCTAAACCTAAATCCTAAAACTTGAAATGCGAAACCGCCTGAATCCCGTAATTTGAACTTGAAACCTAAAACCTAGGCTGAAATCTGAAGCTCAAAATCCAAAACGTTAATAAAATTGAAGCCTCTAACCTTGAATTTTAATCCTGAAACTTTTAACCTGAATGAACATGAAGCCTGATACAAATCTGAAATCTTTAACTTTATTTTTGAATCCAAAGGCCAAAAAATCCAAAAACTTGAAGCCTAAAATGTGTAGTCTTACACCTGAAAGCGGTAGCCTAAACCCCGCAAGCTAAAGCATGAAACCTGAAGTTTGAGGCCCGTAATTTAGAATCTAAAATCTATAGACTGAAAGTTGGGGCCTAAATTACGAAGTCTTTAATTCTTGGATCCAGTGAAACAAGTAATCTTAATCCTGAAGCTTGCAACCTGGAGTCTTTATTCCTGAATTCCTAAAATTTGAAACTTGAAGTCTGAAACCGATCGCCTGAAACTTAAGGTATGAAACCTGGAGGCCTAAACCTAAATCCTAAAACTTGAGACGCGAAACCGCCTGAATCCCGTAATTTGAACTTGAAACCTAAAACCTAGGCTGAAATCTGAAGCTCAAAATCCAAAACGTTAATAAAATTGAAGCCTCGCTAACCTTGAATTTTAATCCTGAAACTTTTAACCTGAATGAACATGAAGCCTGATACAAATCTGAAATGAAGCTTTAACTTTTTATTTTGAATCCTAAGGCCTAAACCAAAAAATCCAAAAACTTGAAGCCTAAAATGTGTAGTCTTACACCAGAAAGCGGTATTTTGAATCCTAAGATCAAAAAATCCAAAAACTTGAAGCCTAAAATGTGTAGTCTTACACCAGAAAGCGGTAACCCAAACCCCGCAAGCTACAGCATGAAACCTGAAGTTTGAAGCCAGTAATTTAGAATCTAAAAGCTATAGACTGAGAGTTGGAGTCTAAATTCCGAAGTCTTGAACTCTTGGATTCAGTGAAACAAGTAATCTTAATCCTGAAGCTTGCAACCTGGAGTCTTTATTCCTGAATTCCTAAAATTTGAAACTTGAAGTCTGAAACCGATCGCCTGAAACTTAAGGTATGAAACCTGGAGGCCTGAACCTAAATCCTAAAATATGAGACGCGAAACTGCCTGAATCCCGTAATTTGAACCTGAAACCTTAAACCTAGACTGAAATCTGAAGTTTAAAATCCAAAGCGTTAATAAAATTGAAGCCTCTAACCTTGAATTTTAATCCTGAAGCTTTTAACCTTAATGAAGATGAAGCCTGATACAGATCTGAAATCTTTAACTTTATTTTTGAATCCAAAGACCAAAAAATCTAAAAACTTGAAAGCTAAAATGTGTAGTCTTACACCTGAAAGCGGTAGCCTAAACCCTGCAAGCTAAAGCATGAAACCTGAAGTTTGCAGCCCGTAATTTAGAATCTAAAAGCTATAGACTGAAAGTTGGAGCCTAAATTACGAAGTCTTAAATTCTTGGATCAAGTGAAATAAGTAATCTTAATCCTGAAGCTTGCAACCTGGAGCCTTTATTCCTGAATGCCTAAAATTTGGAACTTGAAGTCTGAAACCGATCGCCTGAAACTTAAGGTATGAAACCTGGAGGCCTGAACCTAAATCCTAAAATATGAGACGCGAAACTGCCTGAATCCCGTAATTTGAACTTGAAACCTAAAACCTAGGCTGAAATCTGAAGCTTAAAATCCAAAGCGTTAATTGAGAAATGAACCCTGAACCCTGCGACCTAAAACCTAAAACCAGAAACCTGACGCCTGTAATCTAAAGCCTGACATTGAAACCTGAAACTTGTAGCTCAATTCCTGAATCCTTACAACCTGTACCTATACCTGAAATCGGTGGCGGGAGGTAATGGTCAATGATAATCTGCAAAAATCTTTCGTTCCTCCAAACGTTTCAAGTCCGAGGAACACGTGTCAAACTTCCTAGGCTCGGCCCCCTAACTTGTCTAAAATTACTTTAAAATTTGCATAAAAACGAAATAATAGATTTTTCTCTTTGTTCTTTTTTTGGAATCATGAAGTGATTCATCCATTATTTTCAATTTTAATTGTTTTTCCTTGGTAATTACTTTATTTCCCAATTCAAGGTAGCATCTCCCCACGTTTTCGCTAATTACTACGACAACTTTGACTAATTGCCGTACCTTTCCGCATCGGCGGCGACTTTGGCAATTTGGAGCGATTGTTAATACCGAAGACTCTTTTGTCTTAATCAATTAGTAAAACAAGGTCGAAGATCGTTTATTATTCCGCTTTTGGGGCGGGCTCCCGTCGGCCTTGAGATGGCCACTTTCCATTTCGCGGAAACAATCGGTTTTTTTTTTCGAAAATTCGGTCGGATCAGCGTTTTTAAGTGTAACGACGGTATTTTTACGGTTGGCAGTTTTAATTACGGCAAACCTTTCACTAACCTAATTAGAATCCTAATTAGGCAAATTCTTCGGTTTTTTTTAAATTTTGAAATTGGCCCCTTTCGAAATGAAGGGGGTGGGAATGGAATAATTCCACTGGGGGTGATTGCGGGTGATTGGCTTTTTTTTCGTTTTGAAGAGGAGTAACATTCCTTTAAAGTTGAGTGAGTGCAGTTGGGTAGAATTGTCATCCCCACTTGCGTTGCCACTGGCTATAAGGTATATATAATAGGCGCGTTGCATTTGGAATGGAAGTTGATAGGTACCATTCGCGTTTGCTTTTTCGGTTAACCTGGTTCTTAGTAAAACAGGCGAAATGAAATTCGTTTTGATTTTTGCTTCGTTTTTCGTTTTTGCGGTGTGCCAAAAGGAGGAGGCGAAGATCTTCAAGCGGCTAATTCCCGCCGACGTGCTTCGCGGTAAGTATCTTCGAATTTTAGTGAAAGTGATTTATGGTTCGGCGATTTACTTTCACCTCGATTTTGAACGCGTGGTTCTCCTTTTACTTGCCGGTTTCGTAATTCGCGATGTGGGGGAGTAGGGCCCTTCGCGCGCGCGGATTATTGGAAATCGGAGACCGATTTCTCCGGTCGATTACGTAACGGTAGACGATATGGCAATAAAGCACTTGCTAGGCGTTTTTGTTTTAACCTACATAAAATTACCACACCTACGCGTTTCTGGGGCGGGTCAATAAATTTTTAAATTTGCGTGCTCTTTTATGCTTACATCCGTTGCAGATCATGGGAAATGGGGCCCTATTTCCACGCGTTTGATCGCTATTGTTCTCGGCCGTAGTAACGACCCTTTAGACCAAAGAATTGGTGCAAATCGGACACAGGATGTTCGCTTCAATTCAATAACGAGCGCTAAATTAGCGATCGCAACAGACTAAGGCCAAGATGAAGGTCACAATTAAGTCCAATTGCGAAGAAAACGATTGACTTTTTCGATTTATTGTGCCAAGGTCTTCGACTTTCACGCCGAACAAAAGACCTTTAAGCGGATGACTCCACCCAAGCTCATGCATCCTCATTTTTGCAGATTTCCCCGGCATGTGTTTCGCAAGCACCAAGTGCGCAACGGTCGATCCGGGCAAATCTTGGGAGCTGACCCCCTTCTGCGGCCGTTCGACCTGCGTCCAGTCTAAGGAGAAGTCGAACGTCCTTCTGGAGCTGGTCGAAGACTGCGGTCCTCTCCCGATCGCCAATCCAAAATGCAAACTCGACGAAGGTAACCTCCACCCACGTCCATTTTAAAATACTCACGATCTTATTACAGAGAAGACGAATAAGACTGCCGAATTTCCCAACTGCTGTCCGGTCTTCACCTGCGAGCCCGGCGCGGTCTTGGAGTACCCCGACATTGCGACGGTTGAGCCAGTGAAAGAAGACGTCACCCCGAAACCGAAAGCGTAAATCTTCCTACTTCTAAATTAAGAGCTTATGTATAATGCTAAAATGTTATGTGATACTGATTTAAGTATAGAGTTCCCGGAGAAATTCTTGTAATGAGTTTTTAAATTTGTAATAAAAACGTATTTATTAAGCGGTTGGCTCATTATTTGCAGCAGTCTTTTTTTTAGCTCTTCCTTTTATATGTTAAAGGAGCAACAAATTTGGTTCAGCCAGAAATGAGAGTACAGACACACAGACATCATCGAAATTCAGTTTCCTAGTGCTTCAAAACGTGTATTTCCGTAAAAACTTATCAAAGTGAGTGAGATCGAAGGGACCTCCACTGAAATATCGTCAATTTTTAAAAATAATTTTTTTTAAACAAAACATTGCAAAAATTTATTATTACGATCTCAATTAAGCAAGACACTTTTTTGAATTTTTGAAATTTTTTCTTAAATTGAAAAATCTTTGGTCGACTCTTGGTCATGTTTCAAACATTTCTATTCCGGTACGCAAGATTCCAATTAACAACACTTTTCGGAATTTTTGAATTTTTTGAAATGAAACATGATTTTTGAAAATACTTTTTTTTACACATATTTGATCATATTGCAAAAATTTTCATCCCGAGACTCTCAAAATTGCAATTAAACAAGGACACCTTTAAATTTTTGAAAATAATTTTTGAAAATTGAAGACGAATCTTTGTTCACGTATGTATTTCCATTCTGGAACTGAAAACTAAAAGTAAGCCGGACACTTTTTTTTTTGAATTTTGGAGAACAATTTTTTTAAATTAAAGATACATATTTGTTCACTATTTTCAAGACTGAAATACGCTACTTGCGATTATTAAATTTTTTTTTAAAACAAAGATATATTTGGTCATACTGCGAGTTCCATTCCCAAACTAGAAATTTCCATTAAACTAGACATTTCTTTAAATTTTAATTTTTGATTTTTTTTTAATCAAGGATATTGGTCATACTGCAAGTTCCATTTCCAACCTAGAAATTTCCATTAACCTGGACATTAACTTAAATTTTTTTTTGATTCTGTTTCCTAGTGCTTCAAAACGTGTATTTCCGTAAAAAATTATCCTATTCCTATATCGTCAATTTTTGAAAATAATTTTTTACAGATACAGATTTATTCATATTTAAAATTCAATTCAAATAATATTCAAAAATTTATTATTATTATTACGATCCCAATAAAGCCGGACACTTTTTGAAATTTTTGATATTTTTTTAGATGAAAAATCTTTGGTCTCGACCAAATAAATTTAAAAATATGAAAGATACTCCGTATAGCTGTTGGAATATAATTATAATCAAGTTTGATATTCATACAGCGCCAGCTTAGTATATAAGTAATTTTGAAATATGTCAAAAATTTAATGAAAAGAAATGTGTCATTGTAAGTTTGTATTAAAACTGATTTTAGTGTAGACTGATTAAAAACTTTCATCGAACTCATTCTGCTAATATTCTCTTCTTTTATATCGTCAATTTTTGAAAATAATTTTTTACAGATACAGATTTATTCATATTGCCAAAATTTATTATTATTATTACGATCCCAATAGAGCCGCACACTATTTTGAATTTTTGAAATTTTTTTAGATGAAAAATCTTTGATCTCGACCAAATAAATTTAAAAAAATCAAAGATACACATCGTATTGCAAGAACATTTCCATTTCAAACTAAAAATTCCCATTAAGCCGGCTCTTTTTTTGAAAATAATTTTTGAAAATTGAAGAAGAATCTTTGTTCATGTATGTATTTCCAGTTCGAAACTGAAAACTTAAAAGTAAGCAGGACAATTTTGAATTTTTTTACATTTTTCCTTAAGAGTTGAGATCAGATGATACAAAAGCATTGTTTTCAAAATTGAAATAAGGGAGCTGCGATTTTTTAAAATATTATTTCTGCAATGAAATATACAAATTTGTTCTTATTTTAAATATTTCGATACCGGGACTGAAGATTCCAATTAAGCAACGCTTTTGAATTTTTGAAATTTTGAGATTTAAAAAAAAATTGTTTTTAAACTTTTCACAATTTATTTTTATCAAGGATATTGGTCATACTAAGTTCCTTCCCAAACTATAAAGGTCCATAAGCTGTACATTTCATTAATTTTTTTTTATTGTTTCCTAGTGCTTCAAAACGTGTACCTATTTCCGTAAAAAATTATCAAAGTGAGTGAGATCGAAGGGACTTCCTCTGTAAAATAGTCAATTTTTGAAAATAATTTTCTTTAAACAAAGATACAGATTTGTTCATAATGCAAAAATGTATTATTATTATTACGATCTGAATTAAGCAGGACACTTTATTGAATTTTTGAAATTTTTTTTTAGATTGAAAATAAATCTTTTGTCGAGTCTTTGGTTATATTTCAAACATTTCTATTCCGGTACGCACGATTCCAATTAACCTCACTTTTCAGAATTTTTGAATTTTTTTGAATGAGACTTACGATTTGTGAAAATACTTTTTTTTACACATATCTGATCATATTGCATACGTGTTCATCCTGAGACTCAAAATTCCAATTAAACAGGACTTTTTTTTGAATTTTTGAAAATATTTTTTTTATTGAAGATAAAACTTTGTTTATACTTCTATTTCGGGACTAAAGATTACAATTAAGCAGGACACCTTAAATTAAAATTTTTTTAAATTAAAGATACATATTTCTTCATATTGCAGATTCCATACCCGAACTAAAAATTCCCATTAAGCCGGATACTTTTTTGAAAATAATTTTTTAAAATTAAAGACGAATCTTTGTTCATGTATGTATTTCCATTTCGGAACTGAAAACCTAAAGTAAGCCGGACACTTTTGAATTTTTTCACATTTCCTTAGAGTTGAAATTAGATGATAAAAAAACATTGTTTCCAAAATTGAAATAAGGTGGCTTAAATAATATTTCTTTATTCAAATATAAAATTTGTTCATATTTTAAATATTTCGATTCCACTCAAGATTCCAATTAAGTAATACGTTATTGAATTTTTGAAATTTTGAAATTTTTCTATAAATAATTTGTTTTTAACTTTTTTATATTGCAAAAAATTATTATTACGATTTTTTGAATTTTGGAGAACAATTTTTTTAATTAAAGATACATATTTTTTCACTATTTTCAAAATTAAAATAGGTACGCTACTTACCATTTTTGAAATTTTTGTAAATCAAGGATATATTTGGCCATACTACAAGTTCCATTCCCAAACTATTAATTTCCATTAAGCTGGACATTTCTTTAAATTTCTTTAACATTTCCATTCCAAAGCTGAAGGTTCCAATTAGGCCGGACATCTTTTTGAACATTTCTTCAGAGTGGAGGTTAGTGCCAAAAGCACTGTTTTCAAAATTGAAATACAGCACTTTAAAATTTTTTAAAATAAATTTAAAAAATCCAAGATACGTCTGTTGCTTGTATTGCAAGACCATTTCCATTTCATACTGAAAATGTCCATTAAGCCGGACACAAGAATTTTTGAAAAAATCGAAAATGTTTTTTAAATCAAAAATACATATTTGATCATATTGCAAAAATTAGATTTTAATTTATTATACAGTTCACTTTTTTGGGTTTTTTAAAACAATTTTTTTAAATTCAAAATAAATCTTTGTTCAATTAAACCGGGTACTTTTTTGGGATTTTTAACATTTCCTTAGAGTTGCAATTATTTATACATACTTTTCAAAATTGAAATACAGTACTTTGGAACTATTACAAATATTTGTTTAAGCTAAGATACAAATTTGTTCATATATCAAATTTTTCTATTCCAAGACTCAAGAATACAATTAAACAGGACACTTTTTGTAATTTTTAAATATTTTTTTTAAATCAAAGACAGATTTACAGCGCATTTTTGTGTGGCAGATCACTGTTTTATTAGCCAGTAGAAGAAGATAGAAAAAACTGAAAAAACTCCAGTTTAGTATAACACGCTCGGGGATGGCGCCCAGATGTCGCCGACCGAACATCTTGTAGCTCCGTCCCTACACGGCCCCGATAGATACATGTGCACTCCTCGCCAAAAATACGCTAAAAAGTGGGGAATCCTTTTTCACCCCTCATGCCCTTGCGGGTGGTAGAAACCAATATAAAATAATAAAAAATGTCGCCACCTTTCCCAAGAAGAGTTTTTGAGAAAAGTAATTATAATCTGGAGAGAGAGGGGGTATAGTAGAGCACCCTCGGTAATATACACTTAGAGGACTGAAAAATTCTTGAATACGCCTAGCACTTGTACAGTAGTCTTTCGGTAAAGTAATCGATTCTTCGTACCCACTGTACCATACCCCCAGACCCCCCCCCCCCCCCCCCCCCGGCTACGTTCCCTTACACAACAGAAAAAAGACAACCGCATCTTCGTTTCCTGAGGTAAAGTTCAATGATCTTTTATTAAAAATGCTCGTATAAGTACAAGGAATAAGCCTTTTGGATAAGAACGTAGGGCCGGTCGGGGGGGGGGGCATATTCCCTATAAGAACATCCCTCGGTAATATGTACATAGACATTCTTGCTCTTGCTGTATTATTGCAACTCCCCACCCCCAAACCCCGGACTCCTCGGGGCTAAGCGTTCAAAACTCTCCAGCCGAACACCCCTATAATTCCACCGGGGTCTGGGGGGTATCGAATACCCCCCAGTACACGAAGATTCGATTACCCAGTACTGGCTTGACAATTCTTGCTCTATTAATACCCCTAGTACTTCTACGGTAGTCTTTATTGGGAAAGGGAAATCGTATCATCGTACCCCCCAGACCTCTCGGTCCTTCCATCTCATATCCAAGCGACTATAATAGTCATTTTGTGCTGGCCTCCTAGATGCATGCCACGACTCAAAAACAAATTGTTCAAGAAGATTACAAAAAGATTTCAAGTGAATTTCAAAACATTTCAAGAAACTTCCAATAAAATTTCGAGATCTCAAGATTTCATTAAATTTACCAGAAAATTTGGAAAAAAAATTGTTACTCCAAGATTTCAAGAAGCGCCGAAGATTATTTCAAGAAGATTTAGAGAAAACGTCAGAATTTCAAAAAGATACCTAAGCAATTCCAACTAG